TGCGAGGAGCTGCAGGCCCCTCGGCTCCCCACTCAGTCTGTGCAGGGTAAAGTGAAAACCCAGCAAACGGGCGGGTAGCACGTTACAGACCAACGGAACCGCCTGGCTACGTCGACACTGGCACGATTTTACGGAAACGCTTTTAACGGAAAAGTTCCATTGAAAGCATTTGCGGAAAAGCGCGTCTAGATTGGCAGGACGCTTTTCCGCAAAAGCACTTTTTGCAGAAAAGCATCCGTGGCCAATCTAGACGCGCTTTTCCGCAAAAAAGCCCCGATCGACATTTTGAGGCTTTTTTGCGGAAAATAAATCTCTGCTGTCTACATTGGCCCTTTTGCGCAAAAGTTTTTCAGAAAAAGACTTTTGCCCGAACGGGAGCAGCATAGTATTTCCGCAAAAGCACTGACAATCTTACATGAGATCGTCAGTGCTTTTGCGGAAATTCAAGCGGCCAGTGTAGACAGCTGGCAAGTTTTTCTGGAAAAGCGGCTGATTTTCTGGAAAAACTGGCCAGTCTAGACACAGCCGTAGATGGGATCGTGAGCTTTCCTAGGCACAGGGGAGTGGGCTGTGCCCACGTACGCTCCTGATCCCCTCTACAGGTTTTGTTAGTCTTTAAAATGCTTCCAGATCATTTGTTGTTTTTAAAATCAGCCTCACATCAGTACCTGGGGAAACAACGGAATAAAGAATTAAGCAGTAGCTGTGATGTGTCTTGACTTTAGTAAGGCTTTTGATCCTGTCTCATTTGACCGCCTCATGAACAAACTAGGGAACTACAATCTATAGGGAGCTACTGTAATATGGGCGAATAACTGTTGGAAAACCATTCCCAGAGAATAGCAATCAGTGATTAACATACTGAAATGGCATATTGAATGCGGTCATGCGGAGATCAATTCTGCGTCCAATTCTGTTCAATTAATCAAATATTTAGCATGGGTAGTATGCTTATAAAGATTACGGAGGATACCAAGGTGGGAGAGGTTGCAAGTGTTTTGGAGGATTGGATTAAAATTTTAAATGACCTGGACAAATGGCTTGAATGGATGAAATTCAATAAGGACAAATGCAAAGTATGGCAGAAAAATCACTTATGGCAGAAAAATCATAAACACAAAATGGGAAATGGCTGCCTAGGAAGAAGTACTGTGGAAAGAGTTCTGGGGGTCATAGTGGATCACAAACTAAAGATGAGTCAACAGTGCAATACCGTTGCTAAAAAGCAAACATTTTGAGATGTATTAGCAGACATGAAAAGTATTTCTTCTGCACTCTGTGCTGATATGGCCTCAACTGGAGAATTGTGTCCAGTTCCAGGCACAACATTTCAGGAAAGATGGGGGGACAAATTGGAGTAAGTCCAGAGAAGAGCAACACAATGATTAAAGGTCTAGAAAACGTGACACATGAAAGAAGATTGAAAAAAATGCATTTGTTTAATCTAGAGAAGAGAAGATTCAGGAGGGACATGATAACAGTTTTTAAGTATATAAAAAGAGGAGGGAGAAAAATTGTTCTTAACCTCTGAGGCTCGGACAAGAAACAATAGGCTTAAACTACAGCAAGAGTGGGGGTGGACATT